ATACGAGGTCTAAACAATTCCCTTGCTGTTGGATGGGATGAAATTCCAATCAAACTCATTAAATTGTCAGAACACATCATAGCTCCAGTTTTAAGCAAAATAGTTAATCAAAGTTTTTTAAATGAAGAATTTCCCGATAAGCTCAAATTTTCAGAAGTGAAACCTATTTTCAAAAAAGGATCAAAAACAAATATACAAAACTATAGGCCTATTTCTCTACTTAGTAATCTTTCTAAAATATTTGAAAAATTGATTCACCATCGCATAACTGATTTTTTAGAAAATAATAATTTACTGTCGCCATCTCAATTTGGCTTTAGAAGAAATCATTCAACAACCTTGGCTCTCACTAAATTTATCAACTCAGTTTCGGAGGCTCTGGATGGATCACAGAGTGTTGCGGGGGTTTTCTGTGATCTGTCCAGGGCTTTTGATTGTGTGGACCATCAACTTTTAATCTACAAACTAAAAAACATTGGTATAAGAGAAAAGGTCTTAGGTCTTCTCTCAAACTACTTACTAAATAGAAAACAGCGCACAGTAGTTTACAAACAAAACAAACGGTTTCCGTCTAGATGGGATAGTGTCCATTATGGTGTACCTCAAGGTTCTATTCTGGGACCATTGCTATTTCTGATTTTCATTAATGACCTTGATTCAAATATAAGTGGTAGTTTATTTTTGTATGCTGATGATACTAATGTCGTGGTAAAAAACAATGATTTTCAGCAATTAGAAAAATCAATTAAAACAACTGTGGATGAACTAAAAAAATGGTTTTTCAAAAATGGTCTTTTAATGAATGATTCTAAAACCCACTTAATGCACTTTAAAATTAGAAATGGTGAGAAAAACAAGTTGGAGAATTTATCTTGTGGAGAGCTAAAATCAGTCAATACCCACAAGGTTCTAGGAATACACTTTGATTATAAACTAAAATGGGAAAATCATATTCAATATCTGTCCAAAAAGTTGAATTCGTTTAGGTTTGCACTCAGTGTAATTAGTAATACAACATCAATGGATGTATGTAAAATGGTATACCACGCCTACATCGAATCAATAATTAGGTATGGAATAGTACTTTGGGGATGTCAGCCCCAAACTAAAATCCTTTTTAACGCTCAAAAATCAATAGTGAGGACTATGGCCCGAGTTAAAAGAAGAAAAAGCTGCAGATCTTTATTTAAAGATTTTGGTATCTTAACACTTACAAATCTTTACATAGTTGAAATTGTTAAACTAATGTTTAATGATATTAAAATTTTTGATGACTGTAAATTCAACCATACCTATCCAACACGACATCAGAACAAATTGAAATTTCCTCGGCATAGGCTTTCATTCTATGAAAACTCTCCAAAATACATGGCAGTAAAAGTTTATAATAAATTGTACAGCATTTTACAAAAAAATAATTCCAAAAACTTAGCCCTTACATCTGTACATAAACTTCTCTTACAAAAACCATACTACACTGTAGAAGAGTTTTTTAAGGATACTTTTTAAACTGATACGCTGAATGATAAGGTCTTTTCTAGTTATATGAGATATTTTACTTATGTTAACTTTATTATTTTTAGTTTAGTTTTAGTTTTAGTTTATATTCTGACGACACTCCAATCTTTTGTACCTTGTGCATTATAAGATGTGATGAGTAAATAAAGAATTTGAATTTGAATTTGAATTTGAATTTGAAAGAGCGTAAACCAATGTGGAGCATAGTGAAATCAAATAAATCGTCAATGCCAAGAACCTTCACAGCTGACAAATTACTATTGAATACTTCCATGAAGTTTGAGAAAGAGTTAGTTGAATCCTCTGTCATTTGGCGAAAAGATAATATTTTGTCAAGATAACAAGAAGCTAATAATCTTTTATTCTGGTATCGTTCAATTAGAATTTGCATTGCAATGTCATAATTGTCATCTGATATGGCCAGAGTGTCAATGAGAGAGAGTGCGTGAGATTTTAGTAAACTACGTAAATATGTAAGTTTTTCTACCTTGGTTAGGCAAGTGTTCTTATGGATCATAGAGGTGTAGAGGGCATAAAAGTTTGGCCAAGCTGTAATTGATCCATCAAATGGTTCAATTTCCACTTTTGGTAGTCTTGCTACTTGAGAAGATTGTGTTGGGACAGATGATTGAGTAGTTTCTGGTTTACTTTGTGTATTTAAATTCCCTACATTCATCTTACGAGCAATTGTCTTCACATTGAAATAAATCTCATCATATGCCAATGAAGCTTTATTAACATCAATTTTTTCACCCTCTTCTACCTGAGTGTTTACAACATTTATTTTGTCAGATATTTGCTCAAAAGCCTCATAATCATCTTCGATTCGCTGGAAGCGAGAAACAAAAGAATCTAACTCAGCAGTATAGCTTTGTTTTTGTTGAGCTAACTGTATACATTTTTTGCCAACATCATATAGAGCTTGTAGTCTAGCAAAATATTTTTCTCTCCTTTTAACAAGTGTTTCTAACTGGACAGTAGGTCGGGGAGTCATGTTTGCAGATTAAGTTTATATGACCAAGGAGGTATAGGTAGGTATAGGAAACCCTAGAGAAAAATAAAGCAACTTAAAAAAGTTAAAACAAACTACAAAAGAATTTAAACTTATTTATGCTCTCCTTTTGCAAAACAAAAGAAATTACCAACTTTAAAGTTACTGTAATCCATCCGGCTCGAAGGACCATTAATTTGTTGAGTCGTAGAGAATTTTAAATCTTAAAAATTCTATTCTCAAAATGTATTAATTTAATTTTACCCCAAGGCAATCGGAGAGCATGAAATAAAAACTCTGCTTCTCAGTTCACACACTTTTTAATATCAGGTTTTAAAATTTGATATATTGAATTATGACAAGAACTGTTATATTAGATTAGAATATTAAATGAAATCTTCCGGAAGGTTAAAACTTTTAAATCCTAAAAATCTGATAGAAATATTGTAAGAGTATTTTGAATAATTGCTAAATAAATTAAGTTAAAAATTATTTTCTACTTGCGGAGTCTTTCTAGAGAAGTCCAGGTTGTGGTGAGTTTCAAGTGAGGTCGTGACGTGGGTAGCGAAGCGGTTGTAAGAGGGTTGGAGCTGGCGATGTCGTCTGGGAAGGTTGCAGAGGGTTGGCCTCAAAGGAGTAGCTAGGAGAGTAGAGGTTTGACGTAGAGAGACTCTGCTAGTGGTCCAGTGATGCCCGTAGAGGAGAGGGATGACTTGAGCTTAAAAGTGGCGTGCAGGTTGACGACAGGAGAGAATTACCAGTCCATTCACTTGTAGAGGTTTCATCCAAATATTAATACTGAAGATTTACTTCATTCACTTCACATCACTGTCACTGATACACTGAACTGTACTATTATGTTCTAACATTGGTTATAATTAAAAGAGAGAATTTAGACTACATTTTGGATCTATAACTACAATATATTTGAGGACATGTTAACTAGAAGGCAGTAGTGTGTAGACTGAGACAGAGCAAAAAGTGAAAGCATAAAACAAGAACAATACTGTCTGGCAGATAAGGAAAACGAATATAGATAAAACCAACAATAATGGAATGCATTGGAAATACCAATGTCCAGCCAGTCCATTCATTACTTTTATCAGTAGTTTATTCTGATATTATATTCAAAACTCTACAATATGCATCTTGTTAGTTATCCATCCCTTCAAGTCAGGATTTTTCAACGCCCGTTAAACCTTACTATCAATCAATCAATCAATCAATAAATCTTTATTCAATACATACAACAAGTGTACATGAATGTGTCATCAACCTAAAACTACTTCACATGATTTCACCTACTTCCCTACTTGCTTAGTCATACAGTTTTTTTGTTACAGTGTTCAAAACTTTCCAAACTATAAAATTCGCTATAAATTAAAAACCCCTTAAGTTTATTTTTGAATTTATTTACGCTACTTTCGTTTCTAATACTGCTGGGGAGGGAATGCATGAATTTGATTCCAATATAATTAGGACTCTCCTTAAATTTTTCTTTTTTATGTTTTTTAGTTATGAAGTTTAGTTTGTTTCTAGTGTTATAATTATGTACGTCTTTCTGTCTTTGAAGTTCTGATTCATGATTTTTAACATACATTATCGTCTTATAAATATAGAGACTGAAAACGGTAAAGAACTCTAATTCTTTAAAATGATTTTTACAGGATTCGTTTATATCGAGATTAAGGATACACCTAATGGCTTCTTTTTGTAAATGTAAAATTTTGTTTAAATTTAATTTACTTGTTCCTCCATAAATTTCTATACCGTAAGAAATATGTGAGTGAATAGTAGCAAAGTAAACCTTTCTTAAGATTTCTCTGTTGCATAATGGATATAAGCGTCTAATAGCAAAAACTACTATGGTAGTTTTGTCCCCAGAATCTTGTTAAAACATCCCTCGTTTTACCCTTTGCTGTCTGGAAAAAGTGTTGGTGCTAGTCATGATTAAATTCATAGTTAATCGTCAAAATTGAATTTAAAAATACCTAGGGAGCTTTGAACTGGAAAGTCCATATTCACAAGCAAATGACTCTCTAAAGAGTTTATAACTTTCAATAGTTTTCACATTTGAAAATTACTAAATCTGCCTCTTTATACGATCAGGAACAGCTGTAAAAGATCAAGCATCAAATGGACAATGTGCTGTATACAGTCCTAGTTCGAAATAGTTCACTGATTCGTTGTCAGGTGCCACTGTCTACCAGGTCTCGTCAAACAGTGGCAGTGATGGTAACATGTGACGAGGAAGACTCATAAAACCGCCTTGAAGGTTGTGGATGAATCTTGTAAACGGAATTGAATCGCAGCTTGCTCAGAAAATAAATTACTGCAATGCATCTGCGCTATTAGCCAGTATATTCATCAATTCAAAGACTTAGTCTTCGGCCGAACACCAAGATTTGACAGAATAGTCTATAGTTTATTTAGCAAAACTATCGAGGAGGATAATCATAGTTATACCAAGTACTTAACAAGTTATACTCACTTTGTGGACAGTTTCATGAGAGCTCTAGCTACACTGTTCATCTCCACAAACGCCAGAGGAAAGATACCGATGCGGTCGTTCAGTTTGCCCTCGGCCCAGTTCTCATCCACCCTTCTGATAACCGTGATCACTTCCCCCTGTGAACAAAACACAGAAATCACCAAAAATATCACTAGGCATAGGTCAACTTGGCCTGTTGAAAACAATGAAGGGAAATGAGAAAATGAATTGAGTTACAATGTATACATACCCATCCATTCTGTAAACTTCTACCAATCGTCTACCATTTATTTTATTCCGGACTTTGCCACAACACATTTATGCCATGGACGTGTGAATTGATCAGATTTAACCAACGATATTGCTAAGTTCTCCACCAGAATGTACAAATTCAAAGCTAAATTTGTCATCAATGTTGTAGCATGTCAAGTACTGATTCCAGCACTTTTTAGCGAATTTCCCTATAGGGAAGTAGCTGTTACCGTAGGTCTCATGGTAAGACCTAGGCCCGGGACCGATTTACTTTTTCATTTTGATGTCCCCAGAGTCCAAAAACACCATTCGTTCAAATTTTTATATATATATGTGTCCATCCGCACGATAACTTGAGTAATTTTTGTCTGATTTTGATTAAATTTGGTTTGAAGGTGTAAGGCGGGATAAACTTGAATGAGTTCCCGAACCAGCATGATCGGACTATGGGAACGGGGGTTTATGGGGGGTTTTATGGGGTAAAAATAGGTTTTTCCCATTTTTGACCTTAAAAACACAAAATTTCACAATTTCTTTTCAAACCATTTTGTAGAGCTTAAAAAAACAAATAATTTAGTATATTGAAGCGTCATTATGCGCCTAATTGTTACGGAGAAAATTTAAAAAAAATTGTAATTTTAAAATTCCCATGTTATTCTTATATAGAATAAGTCAACTGTTGTAGTTTGCTTGTTTATGAACATATTTTGATCATATTTGTAAAATAGATTAATTTCTTACTAAACCACAGTACCTTTTATCATTTTACATTAAAAAAAACTTTTTTACCCTCCCTGTTGCAGCAAACCAAAGTACTCATTAAACTAATTCTGTTTAAAAAGGGAATAAATGTAATATTTTTAAGGAGACATTTTAGTTTAAATCCAATCAGGCAAATGGAAATTCGCTAAGTCTGCAGGTTTGCTGCGGCGGGGGTATTTTAAATTTATGCTCAGGAAAATACTTATAAACAAAGGATAATTTTATTTTATGTCCCATAAAGGACATTGGCGCCTAAATGTGTTTACTCTAAATATTTTTTTTTTAATTCCTCTTACTGTAATAACAAGTTATTCCAATTATAAGCAATTGCTTAATAAGTAAGAAACAACGTATGACTCACCTTGTTAAACGTGAGACACCCTTCTTCGTCATCATTAGTCATGCGGAAGTCATACAAAGCTTTGCATTGAGGAATGTGACTCGGCAGCGGAGTCATTATCTGCAAACACAAGACACTAGTCATTAAAAATACATTGTAAGAATGTAGTAACAATAACAGAAATTGATGAGTGAACTGGTGAATATTATCTACTGGAAAGACTTAACTAACTAACAAACAAGGTAGGCTAGATTTAGGTTTGATAAGATTTATTGTTTTATTAGTTTGTTCCTACAACACTAAAGACTTACCTGGACGTAACTAAGAGGAAACACTCCCTGTTTCCCACCAGATTCCCCGAGATACCAGTTGTTGTCTATCTTCTTGCGTAACATTATCAGGTCTCCTTTTTTGAAGCTCAGGTCCCTGCAATGGATGATTAGATAAATAATTAATTATGTACTTTTATTTGGGATATTTTCAACATTTAATAACTAGTTGGTTCGGAAAACCACTTAGGTAAAAAAAAATACAGTATAACCAACATAACCCGTCAAACCAAGCCTAGTTTAACCGAAAATCAATTGGAACAGACATTAATGCTGTTGATTCCTTTGAATAGAGACAGACTCTAAATTCCTATGATTGATTAGAAATAAAAAATAGGTTATCCGAAATGGCTTTGGGACTTCATTTCCGTTTAGTCAGGGTTTTACAGTACATAAAAATATAAAGAATGAAAACCTTATTATCTAAAAAACTTGTATGAAAACATCCACGTAGTCAATTAAAACTATAAATGTAGCCTAATCATTATGTATGCAGGTACTTAGGTAGGTATGGCATTATGTCTTTATTATTTGTAGGATACCTCATGCACTTTGGCAATTTTAGAATTAAAATGAATTTTACTCGATATTTCAAACTGTGATTAAGGTTATTGCTTGAATTTACTCCGTGGGGACAACATTTATATTACTATCAGAAAATGATGACCTCTTTTGAGGATGTTTTTAGTGAAATTTGTATGTGTTGTACCAATTTATGGATTAAAATTGAAAATGGTATAAATACCTGTTTATAGAAAAACCATGATCGCAAAATAATAAAAAATATACTTGCTAATCAAGTTAAATGTACGTTATACAGCGAAGACCGAGATGTTTTGCATTAGGAGGTCTATTATCTCGCGAGCAGACTATAAGTTGCCGTTGTTTACTTCACTGACCACAGATCAGTCACCGATTACAACAGCAGTTAATAAGTTACATTGTGTTTGTGATTTAAATTTTTTATTACTAGTCCTTTTATTTGTTTTGAAAATAGACAAATAATACTCAAGGATTTGCGGAATTATCACTTAGATTAAGTCCATTGATGATTTGGCGGGATTTGAACCTGGGACCCAAGACTCATGCGCTACCACCGTGAAATGATGATAAATGTTATCATTATGTGGATTAGCAGGTATTTAAGCCATATTCAATATCTTGTAAACTAGAAGCTATAGTACCATTGTCAATTGACCTATAAGCAAATGTGAATTACATTCGAACTTAGGTTAGAAACATAAGCCATCTAGTAAGAATACAATTAATTTGACCACATGAGTGAAAATTTTTTTAGAAATTAAATAAGAAGGTCAAGTACTTAAGTGTTGGTACTTTTTTTAAAGGTCTATGACGAACAAATTTGGAAGATGTATTAGGTTTCGATCAAAGTAGGCCTATTGAAAAATCTAGTTCAGATAATGAATCAATCTGTAAGATAAGAATATCTTATCATTCTAAAATTAATCATCTACTTCCATTGATTACGAAAGGAGGAAGTAGGCTCATCATTTTTGATAACAGATAAAACTATAACCTCAATATTAACCATACATAAGAAATTAGGGGTTTGGACCCTGATCAATATAGAATGGGTTTAAAATGCACACACACGGTTCTTTCTATGAATACACTTCACTTTTAAAATCTTAAATTCGGCAATTCGCCAAAGTATACTTATTTATTAGTACGCTAAGTGGGTAAAATGAGATACAAAACCTACATTACAATTCTTTTTAAGAGTCCTTGGAGGCTAGCGGCCATCTTGGATTATTTCAAACAGCTGTTGCAGGGTTGTTCATATTGATCATCCAAAAATAGTTTTTCAAACACCTAAGTAATTGTAATTTAAATATCTAGTGCACCGTGGGGTCAGAAATTGTCTTTGTAGTTTTGTAAATGTTTTCCAAGGGAGTTCATAGAAGCTAACGGCCATCTTGGATTTGCCCGCCATAAGAGCAATGTTAATTTTGTCAATTTCACACAGCACCTGAAGAGTCATTTAACATCTCAAAATATTATTTTTTTCAAATACCGAAGTGATGGTAATTTAAATATCTAGTGCACTGTACGATTCAAAATGTTCTTCTTACTTTTGTAATCGTTTACCAGTCATAACATCTAGGCTCCAAGGACTCTTAATGGACTCACAAGGGGGAAAATATTGTTAGCTTTATTTTGTGGTTGTTGTTATCTAATCCCAGGTTGTTTAAATAGCAAGGGTAGTTCTTTCTAATTACATTTAGCTAAAACAGAAAATGTATTAATATTGTTGCTCGAAAGACACTTCTAGACTTGGTGCCTCTGCCTGCTGTCCAGGTATTGCTGAGTTAAGAACTACCTTTGTGTTAATTATACCTTTAAATAGGTGCCTAATGAACAGAAAGTGAAAAACTGCTGCTAATCAACAAACAGAAAAAAACAAAAATTGCTCACAACTTTGTATCTTGATATCAAGTAACAAAACTAGCATAATGAACAAATATATCAAATTCTTACCCAGGCTCCTTAGAGAGGTAATCATAAACTGCACGAGCGTAAGGTTGGCTAGGAATCTGAAAACACACATCGGTAATACATTAGAATATTTACTTAATCACTAAAATCTAATAAATCTCTATCCCAATTCATAATCAATAATAGAATAGAGGATTTCCTGTTGGGCTTTAGGTAAATTAGACAAAATGAAAAATCATTTATTATCCATCTCGTTTAAGAGATGAGGAATAACTATTTTAAAGTAGGTCTACCTATGCAGAGTTTCAAAACACTGCGGAAAACTTTACTATCCTATATTATGAAACCGTTAAGAGATATTGATCATTTTTTTCGTAGTCTAATACAGGTCTAAAGGTAACCTTTGTGCCAAATTTCATCAAAATCAGAGATGGTAGGCCTAATAGAAACACATCTTTTAAGTGTGTTGATTTGACAGGGCTTGACCCTTCAGTAGGCAAATACAATGTACAAAAAAACTCAATGTACAAATCAATGTCAATGTCTCAAATCAATGTCTCAATGTACAATGTATGTGTGGATGTGTTTCAAAACGAAAGAGCAGATTTTATGTTTTAAAATGTTAAGTAGTTAGCCAAGAATGATTTATATGGCATTGGATAGAGCAAAGAATGGAGTTTAATTTTTGTATCAACTGTTAATATTTTCTAACACAACGTTTTGATTATTTAATAACAGTTCTTTAAAACCCCTTTTTTATGTCTGTGGTTGTTTGGGGCTGGTATTCTTGCACCTAACACATCCAGGTTGAACAAATGAAAGCTACAACATTTATATAAATTTGTTTTTTCTGTGTTGGTTGCTCATCAAATGAATCGCTACGCCGTTGCAAGAGACAAAATTGAATATTCAGATAACACAAAACATTTTGGCCGCACCAATGTCAACACAGCCAGTTTCCCACGCATCCAATTTGCTTGTGCTGCCAACCTATACATTTTTAAAACAAAATATCCTACAGTAGAGAATAGTATTTGTATTTTAGTTGTTCTTTAAAATCTCAATTTCAAAAATATTTTGTTCGGTGGAAATATTCACTTTTGTTGCACTTGATTAAGCTTGCAATTAAGCTAACGATCAAGTTAACATTTCACAAATTCCAAAACACAAAATAACTTTTCTTGAGGAGCTAATCCCGAGTCTTAAGATAAACAAAAGACATCTTTTGTTAAAAAATAATAACAGACAATCAGCAGATACAATAATAAAACATCATTGATTGCCCTATCCAATAACGGACTGAAGGTGCTAATTGAAATAGCGACGATGAAAACAAAACAATTATTTACAGATATTTAAATTGGTGTGATACCTTGGTCGCGGCGGCAGCGTGAGGCAAAGGCAGCACTCTAGCAGTAGGCTCTGGCGTGGAGTGTGGCTGAGACAACGTAGGTGGCAAACTGGAAGGTTGTCTGACGCTGCCGAGAGAGTTACGTTTCTTAGGTCCTGCGTTGCGCATCCCCTCCAGTATCCTCATGAGCAACACGTTGGGAGGCAAGTCTTCTATCTTGACCTCCACCAACACTCGACATTCGGGGCATCGCAGCTCCTATCACAATACGTAATGACTATTAAATAGTTTACGATTTGGCTTTGATAAAAAGGTGTTGTATTTGTATAATAAGTAAATTATTTAGCCTACATCAACACACTCTAGTGGTGGCTCAATTAGACTAGGTCTAAATTTTTGTATACCTATTATGAAAAAAGCTACAGATTTAACATGGGAATGGTAAGTCCAGTTTGATTTATAGTTTTATCTATGACTCAACCAGTGGGGAGCGAGCTGGTCTAGTGGTTAGAGCACCCGGGACTTCGGTTCCAGAGGTCCCGGGTTCAAATCCCACCAAATCACAAATGGATTTTGTCCATGTGATAATGCCGCAACCCCTAGGTCTAGCCTGAAGTAATGTGAAAAACAATTCCGGGTGTCTAGCGTTCTAGAACAAAAAAAAGACAACTAGTTTAACTAACCTTGTTGGTTGTGAGAATATCCTCCAGACATTTCTTACAGAAGGTGTGTTGACACGGAAGTACCTTACTGGACGTGTCCAGCCTCTCCAGGCAAACGGAACATTCCAGCAGATCGTTTAATGTCCACTCGTCCATATCAGCTGTTTACTGATCACCGCCACATTAATCTCTTTCTTGACACTCTGCCAATGGTCTGAACAGAAAACTAGAATGATAAGAGTTGGATATGGTAAAGATAGGTTATGGTGCAAAGTTAGTGCTAGGGCCTAATTTAGAAACAATAAGGAGAAAGAAATATTTGTATTTACCGAACAGCATTAAGAAAAACAGGCTATGACTCGTTTGTTAACTAGGCTGTATAAAGTGATACATGAGTATTAGTACAATAATCTTACCCAGGTAGTTTTATGTCAAATCAAATGTTTATTTTCCAATAGACATCACAATTCCATATGGAATACTGTACTCCATAAAAGGTATTATGTTGATTAACATTAATTTGTCAAGGAAGAGTACGTAGGTCAAACCAATTGATACAAAGAGAATACAAAACATGCATTACCGGTACTAAAAAATGCATTAATACTAGAAAATATACTAACATTTCTCAATATTTAAAGGTCCAGGAAGTTCTAAAAAATCATTTAGTTTGTAAAACGGGTTCTTTACTAGCCACATATGAATTTTAGCTTCAAAAACTTTGTAAGAAAGCGATAGAAATTTGTTGGGCAATTTATTTAGACATTTTAGGCACAGAATTTTATGAATTTTCTTTGTTTTACTCAGTCTAACATGGGGTAGGCCTATATCAAATTGACGTCTGTTTATAGTTTCATAATCATGATAATCACTCCTTGTGGCATGGGAGTCCATATCCTTAAAACTTAAGTTATCATTTCTTAATTCTACTATTGGATAATCACTCGGCAGCAGAGTTGACTGTGTCACTGTGACAAGATAGCAAGGTGGTATCATCCGCATAGAGATAGGAATTGCAACTAAGATTCATGGGCAGATCATTTATGGCGATTAAAAACAGAAGGGGCCCCAAAACAGAGCCTTGAATTACCCCGCAGTTGCTGAGGGCGATGGAGGACCATTCACCATCAGCGTATACCCTACAGTCTGTCTAATTGTTAAATAAGACCACAAAAGATTTAGAACACTGTTCATAAATGAATTCCATAAAATTCCAACTTATGTGGCAAGATCACTAGATCACTCAAGGAAATGTTTACCGGTACCTGAACTGTATAAGTTTAGATAATTATACTTTTGATTTTATTTAAGTTAAGTTATAGATTAGGGCCCATTGTAATGTTTTATTTTCTTAATTTGACAATTGTCATGTACTTTGATGAAAGCTTGCAAATAAAGACCTTATTTATTTATCTATTGCATGGTCAATACAATCAAAGGCCTTGCTAAGACCAATGAAGGTGGCCCAGGCAAAATCTTATTTTTTTTAAAGCCCTGTGAATGTCCTGAACCATGGCATCAATTGCATTCACAGTGGCAATGCGAGAGTTCATTAAACTCAAGAGCTCATTTAGAGTTCATTTAAACTCTAAAGGCAAATTATTGTTTGTTAAAGAGACAATTATTTTGAAAGAAAGCTATTAATCTGATTGTGAATTAAGTAAGTTATGTGTTTAGAACCTTAGACAGAACAGGTAGGCATAAGGTACTGGACTAAGTTAAATGGGCCGATAGTTTCCTGGTTATGTGAACATTCTTAAGTTAGAAACTAATTGATTTATATGAGGGCATTGATAACATTTTGGCTGGTTGAGTTTAGTTTTGACAGAACTGCTAGTTAACACGTTCGCTGCTGAGCACTAGATGCCGGGACGGCGCCAGTTGCTGAACTAACGCTCGGCCGCTGCGTGACATTGCCACCGATACACTGAATTACAATAAAAACAACAGTAGTTATACTGGATGGCAATGTTCTGCAATACAACTGGCTTTGGATATAGTACTAAGTGATTCTGATAGATAGCAGCACTACCCAGGTTACAGTCGTTAAAGTAGTATCGCTATCTAGCAGGAAAGAGGTAAAACAAAGCCCTGTTCCAAACGACCCTGGTGGTGATTTGGAAAAACTATATTTTTTATTGTCAGAAAAGTACGTCCCCACGAGCTGCAAAGAAATATAGAACGCTTGTGACGTGCTGGCTTATCCATAGCAACGTTAAACAACAATGAACGGTGACGTTCTGGAACGTTCTTAGCTCCTGGCGCCGTGGCCCGGCTGACGTTCCGGAACGTCCGTAGCAGCGAACGTGTTAACACATTCATGTGCCTAAAATGTGAGATTTTAAACAGTAGACCTAGGAAGGTCCAAACGATTTACTTTTAAAATCAAGAATCACCTAGGTGTAGTGTTGATGTCAAAGATCAGTTTAAAGCGTTTTTACAACGTTATAAGCGAAAAGTAATAATAAGGAAAGGCTATACTTATCCGAAAAGGATTCAAATAGCACCCTTTCTGAGTAATTCAAAGAAAGAATTAGTAGGTAACTTAACAAAAAATAGGCTTGAGTAGGACTAGCTAGAATAAAAAAGTTTATAGGTACATTTGTAACTAGACTAGGCCCTACGCTAAAATGATGATTAATGTTGTGATTAAAAAGGCAAAAACTCTACAAGAAAGATAGTTTTGTCACCTTTTCTTTGAACACAGTGCATCATACTGAAGTCCCATTTTCAATAAACGACTAGAGAAATTTTAACCTAAAATAAAAATATCCAACCATTCTTACCTTGGACATTACTTTTATAGTTGGAACTGCACTCCTCATGAACCCATAAAACAAATTTAAGTTAACAAATCCCTAAAACAAAAGAATTTAACTATACGGAATTCTTGTTGAATAACTCTCACATAACGAAACTACAGCCACAGCCGACGGATGAATCAATCATGGAAATATCTGCCCTATCAGTGTTGCCAACTCATTGAAGGATTACGTAAAATTATTTAAATTTATGGGCGTATCGGCATCATGATGTAAAACGCCTTTAATTTAATCATAGCTCAAATATAATCCCAATTTTAATCTATACTTTTATAGAACCGTAGATTAAATATATGAAACTACTGTGGTCAATAATGAAACTAAATCCACAAAAAGTGGTATGATCTAAAGACTACGATTTTACGATTAAGAAATCAGTTAACTGGGGTTAAGGGGGTATTATGTTTTATCTATGGTATTACCTTATTGTGGAACGCCTCTTTATCTATTGCAAACTAAGGAAATCCAAGAGCTTTTAAGCGAAGTAGTTTAACAACTACCCTATCAATATAATATTAAAATACTTTCCTGTGAATCATAAATCCTTGTTACTGTGTATGTTATTTTTCACTTATATACTCTTATCATAAGATATTAGGGTAATCTGTCTCAAATTAACAAACTTCAGAACGCCATCCTAAAGCACAAACTGAAAACTGTGTACCAGATCATGTTTAAATAGCTATATTACTATGCAAAGCTTTGTACTGTGTTGGGGCTCATGAGCAGCTCATACCATTTAGACTCCAAATTATAAGTCATCTGAATCTCTGAATTCAAAGAATAGTGTAAGCCCCATTTGAAGCCTTAGCATTATCATGGATAAAACAGACTCCCTTAAGTTTAATTTACTGACATTTTAATGATTTTTTTGCCGTTACTGTAGGAAACTGCTTTAAATTTCATATATAATTAAACAGTTAAGTGTAATAATCTATGTCTAATCTATGCCTGCCTTCTTTCATATACAGTTTAACTAACATATGTTTTATTGATTATTATGGTTTTTGTAAACAGTCAAATAAATACACATCTTTGGTGAAGTCCTAATAGTCTTTTGTCTTGTCTGTCTATAATATTTTTAACATTGGTGCCGAAACCCGACTTATAAATCATGTCAAAAAATATGTCAATCCGAAAGTCAGGGAGAGAGAAACACCCTCCAAATAGATATTCCCCAGAAAATGCAAATGACAAGAATGATGAACCCATAGAAGGAGATAGTCAATCTCTAAAACCACCTTCTAAGTCAAAAACCAAATCTTTAACTTCCAGCAAGCGCCGGTTAGTTCAACTGCAACTAGAAGAAATAGAAGAAATAAACAGGCTTGAAAAAATACACGAAGAAAGAGAGTTGCAACGGCTGAAAGAATTTGAAGAAAAGGAGATGGAGCGACAGAGACAAGAGATGGAGCGTCAAATGCAGGAACAACAAAGGCAAAGAGAGGAGAGGGAAATGGAACGACAACGTCAAGCTGAAGCAAGAGAACTAGAACGACAGAAGCGTCTGCTGAGAGTAAGGACCGAACTTGAGTCTGCTTCGGTCTTGGGAAGTAGTCAGTCCGCCTCAGTCTTGGGCAGTCGTCATTTGGAATTGGAAGATAATGAAGACCCTGACAAGGTAAGCTTCAATATTGCTACTGTTGAGGAGGACTCTAATGTCAAAGTCAATAGGTGGCTGAATGAGGAACCGTCAGTTCCTTTGACATCGTCAGCCATCGTGTCCACGGCTATTGATAAACTAGCAGACTCCTTTTCAAAAGCTATCAATTTATCTAACCCCAACCAACCTATCTCTTGCCGACAGCGTCTTCCATCCTTCAGCGGAAAACCAGACGAATGGCCCATGTTCTATTCCTGTTACAATAAGACTAAACACCTTTTTAATGACGATGAAAACCTTGCCAGAATAAGAAATTGTCTGGAGGGAGATGCCTTTAAAATGGTAAAACCTCTATTTATATCAGGTAAAAATTTGAGTACAGTAGCCTAATGAAAACTTTACAAATGCGTTTTGGACGTCCAGAGTTTATAGTCGAGTCAATGTTGAAGAAGGCGCGCATGCTCCAACCAGTCAAGGAGGATGACGCTGTCAGCCTTATTGAGTTTTCAACAACTCTTTTAAACCTGACCTCTACCGCAGAGTCGTTGGATTTGGAAATGTACCTAATAAATCCTCTCTTGTTGAATGAACTTTTAAGTAAGCTCCCCTATACCCTGAAGTACAGGTGGGCTGAACATGTAAATAGAATGCATTTAGAAAAACCTACTGACCTGAAAGTATTCTGTAACTGGCTTGAAAATCAGTGTTCCATTATGAGTATTTATTTTCGTCCACCCGAGGAGACAACGCGGAAGAGAAGTGACCCTAAACCAGTTGTTACTAATTCGCCCAACGAAAACGTTTGCATGTTTTGTTCGGAGAGTCACGAAACCGATAAATGTAAGCTTTTCAGAAAAGCAGAAGTCGTGCAGCGGTGGAAGATGATAATTGAGAAAAAACTGTGTTTCTTTTGCTTCCGTCGTCACCACATCAAATTTTGCAATTTAAAGAAACCTTGTGGAATCAATGGGTGCAAACTATCCCACCATCGCCTTCTGCATACTGACAGTGCCACTAAAAATGCCCAAGAGATCAGCTGGGACAGAGTACAGAACACTTTCAGGCAGGAAGGTAAATCAAAAGAAGAATTTATAAGCAATCACTCGGTAAATAACCGTGTTTTACTAAGAGCATGTCCAGTGACATTATATGGTCCAAGCTGTCAGATCGACACATATGCACTTTTAGATGACGGTTCAACCATATCTCTACTAGATTCAACTACAGCCAATAAATTAGGCGTCAGTGGTAGCATTGAACCCCTTACCACTTGTTGGTCAAATGCAACTAAACATTTTGACCCAACGTCCAGACGAGTTGAACTTAAAATAAAAGGGCTCTATGAAGACGAAGTTTTCACATTGACTAATGTAAGAACTCAATTTCCCTTAGATTTACCTCAACAGTCGATCGATCCAGTAAAGCTTCGTGAGACATGGTCTCATTTAAATTCAATCGACCAACCTTTACCAACATCTCATGCCAAACCTACCATCTTGATTGGTCAAGATAATTGCAACCTAATATTGACAAGGAAAGTTGTAGAAGGGCCTCCTAACTCGCCAGTTTTATCCTGGAGTTACTTAGGCTGGTCGTTGCATGGAAAATGTCCGGAATACAGTGGAGGACGTATCGATGACAACTTTGCTCTGACATGTTTTAAATATGATAAATTGTACAAAACAGCAAAAGAATCATTTGAGATTGACAAATATGGTGCAGAAAACATCTCACAAGAAGAAAGGACTCGAAACAAAGATATGAAAATCAAAACAGCACACTTAGACAGGGATCCAATAAAAGAAAAAGCGTTAGAGAAGGAATGCCAACCCCTGGAGGCTAAGGATATGATTCAAGACTCTGAGAAATATTCTGATATTCTTACCAGTGTCCAGACAGTCTGAGTGGTTGGAGAGAAAACGGAAGAGCCTGATAAAGAAAATGAAATAGGTCTAGTTGACGATGAGCCGATAGAAAATTCCAAAATACTTGAAGTCTTGAAGGAAGCCATGCTGGAATCTAGTGTCAAAATCAAGAACAAGATCTTTGCGATAACTGACAAAAGGAAGAAAGTGAAAACAAAAGAAAAACAAATTAAAGCCAAACCTCTATGGAATGTGAAGAAAACGAAGAACGACTCAGATTTGATAATTTGTAACGGATGTGACATACAGTTTGACAATACCCCATTCTACAGACACAAGAAGAAATATGTGTACTGGAAAGAGCACAAGAATAACAATGACAAGCAAACAAACAAGTGTGCTCAGTGTGGCTGTGTGTTCCCATGCCTGATGGCCTTGTTTGAACACAACTGTAGTTGCTTAGAGGAACCTGTAATGCCACAATTGTGTCTTGAGAAGCCGGTGGCGGAGCCGCTAGGAGACAGCGTGAAGGACATACCCAACATGTCACCTGTGGAAATCTCCAGAGACGAGACTGTCGAGACTTTGAGGAGAATTAACGATGGCAAGCAAACAAACAAGTGTGCTCAGTGTGTTTGCGTATTCCCATGCCTGGTGGCCTTTTTTAAACACAACTGTAGTCGTTCAGATGAACCTACGATGCCACAATGGGGTCTTGAAGAGCAGATGGCGGAGGTGCTAAGAGACAGCGTGGAGGACAATCCCAACTTGTCACCTATGAAAATATCCAGAGACGAGACTGTGAGGAGAATGTCACTAGTGGACGATTCAATTAACCTGGTCAGTGACGAGAGCTTTGACATCTCACAGTACCACAACAAGTCCAGCAGTGATAACCATAGGAATAAGAAGTATTATGAAATACTAGCTGTAACCCGCGGGCTTTGCCCCATTTAACTTCTTAATTTTCAAGATTATCTCGTTCGCATGGCTCAATCACGTCCTGGTTGAAGTTTGTTCGCTACGCTCACTCACCTTTAGGTTGGAGCTCGTTCGCTGCGCTCACTTGCCTTCAGGTTAGCTCGTTCGCTACGCTAACTCGCCTCCAGGTTGAAGTTCGTTCGCTACGCTCACTCACCTTTTGGTTGCAAATTAGCTGTTGTCATAAATGTAAAAGAAATAATAGTGCTGCACCCTGTTGGTAATCATTGTAACTTTAATGCTATTGACAATCATAGAACAGAACAAACTTGTTTAATTGAAACAGCTGTTAAGATTCAATAATTCCATTTCTCATAAGGTTAACATGGGAAACTCCAGAGCCACTGGGGCGGAGCCCGAAAGGATTTTTGAAATAAGAATATGCCTATATGTTAATCGGGAATGTTAGCTATCATCATGCCAAATTTCAGCCCAATCCGACCAGTATTTTTCGCGTTCACTTGTCACAAACATACATCCATACATCCATACATCCTCACATCCAAACTTTCTCATTTATAATATTAGTAGGATTAGTAGGATTCAAAGAAATCAAACAACAAAGAAGTAAACGTATGCTCAAAGTGAAAGTCACTAAAGAACTGGTGAGTGCCAAAGTTAGCCTTCGCAAGCCTCGGCCAAAAAATTACTATTGCTCCAAAGATTAAAGAAAAAACTAATTTTTTAATGGTTAGTTCTTGGGGGGGAGAGAATGTAATAATCTATGTCTAATCTATGCCTGCCTTCTTTCATATACAGTTTAACTAACATATGTTTTATTGATTATTATGGTTTTTGTAAACAGTCAAATAAATACACATCTTTGGTGAAGTCCTAATAGTCTTTTGTCTTGTACCATGTTTCTAAGTTGCTTGGTAAAATACTATATTTATGTATTTAATTTTTTAAATGAAATGTGTACGGTACAGCAATTTATGACCATCCTATATCAAGAATAAATTAATTGTAATGCAATACATGTGTTTTTAAGCTACAGCTTTAAAAAAATTCACCTGCTCCTGACTGGTACAAATTGTCAGACCTCAAAAACAAAGAAGAAGAATGTACTTCAGCAGACTCAGACAGAGAGAGTTGAGTTAAGTAAAATGGCTGTCAAAGTTGGCGTTGGCGTTGTTTTGTAGTATCAGCTTTCCGGGAGAAACTTTTATATACTTTTTGAAGCCTTATAAATTGTTTCAACATTGAAGAATTTCAAATGAAAATTATTATAGTTTTTACTTGCTGAAGGAAAACAAATTTCCGGTAAGTTAAGCTTATATCCTCTTTGTGTACTATTAAGTATTTAAGTTAGTAGGCCTAGGGATGTTGCGATACCACTGTCTTTCCGATATTTGATATCGATACCGTATCGCAAAAAAGTATCGATATCGGCTCAGTATCGGAACCAAAGTATCGATACCATCAGTATCGTATCCATTCGATACCGGTGACGTCATATTCTGATTGATCTTCGCTTCAGTACAGTACAGCCAATATAAATTTTTTATTCGAGCTGCTAAGACCTACTTAATTATGTAAACAAATTGGTAAAATTAAAATTAACCAAACATAACCAACCTTTGTTTTCAATGTTACCTTAAAGTAAAAGTTCAAGTATCTGTGGTTCTAAGCCTATATCATTTAGGCCTATCTTAAAAAAAAAAACAATTTTATTACATTACCAACGCATACACACACATTTGTGTTTACCATCAGCCTAAATTGACAAAAACAAAATTGAAATAACTGTGCCATCTTTTTAATTTCTTTGATGTTTAATAGTCCATGGTTTCATTTTATTTGCCTAACAACACAACGTTGCTAACATTGATGTGTAATAAAAATAACTGCAACCAAACCCTTACGTTTTACCATTGAAGTAAAACCATTGACTATATACCTACAGTACTGTAGGTATATATAGTCAATGGCTTTACTTATAGTTCTATGAATGAATAGTGAATCATAATTTACACAAACCACATATCAGACAAGCTAAAAAAAATATTTAATTGGGTTTAAGTCTGTTTCTTTTTTGGGTCACTGTTGCTCCAGCCTTGTAAAACAACCGCTCAGAAGGCGCGAGCGTAGCCATTTTACTCAGATTTGTCAGAAATGACCTTCCGATACTTACGATACGATACTGGCCCCTTGGTATCGATACCAAGTAAATATCGGAACAACCGATACCGATACGATACCAGCAGTATCGCAATAAAAGTATCGATACCTACTGGTATCGTTAGTATCGCAACATCCCTAAGTAGGCCTACCAGGTCGGCTTGTTGTGGCAGAAGAAAGCCCCTCCTTCCTTCTTAGTTTTTACTAGTCATTATAGTCCAGCTCAACCCACATAAGTTTCATTCTTACTTGGAGTAATTTTATGTTATTCTTGGACAATGTATGCAGCCCATAAACTGTTAATTTAAACTTAGATCAATAAATAAGGAACTTATTGATTGACTTGGGTTACTAACATTTCATTAGGCATTTACCCAGGCCTATTTGAGAGTTCATTGTATTCCTGGCTTTTTATTTTTACTAGAGTAATTTGTAACTTATGGTGAACGTCATTTTACATATAGTAGCAATGTTGCGAACTATTTTACTGCTCATAGCAAAGACAATTATTTTAAAATGCACAAACAAGAGGATAGGCCTCTTTGACCTAATGGTCATTGGGCTAGTTCAAAATAAAATTAGTCGTATACAATGCATATACCATTTACAACGCACGATTTGGATAGAATGGATCAATCCAATACACTGAAGTCCTACTAATCCAAACCAACTTTTGGGGAAGATAAGTTAAGGTTTGGCTAGGCTTAGCTTAGTCCGCTGTGATTGAATTGAAAACAAAGCTAGGTATGAGTTCACTGACACCAAGGTGTCCAACTGATTTGGAAACCGAGATTTGTACATGATCTTTGTGCATTGGACACTCCAATCATCAGGGCCGGTTCTAGACACTTTTCTAGTGTAAACGAAGAAACTCCGGTGCCGCCCCCCCTTAAACACTCATAGCCTACTTTAAGTTAGGTCCATGGTAGTAAGGGCTGGATAAATTTTTAGAAACAATAACTTACGAGTAAAAATAGGCTAAATGCTTATCAATGTCCGACAAATGTGAACCTCTGCCCAATGATAATTTTTTCCGATAACACAGGGGATTTTCAGGATTTCACCGTGACCGCGAGAGCCAATAACAAAGTTTTTCACGACCGTGGGAGATGATCAGAATTTCACAGCAATCTTGGGAAATGAAACGATGATGTCTATACAGCCGCGATGGATGTTCATAGTCTTATATTTTCAAAGCCTTTAAGTTAGTGCCCGTCCGGCTGCACTTTACTTTAGGTCCTACACAAACAACCGAATGAAAATATAATTATTTGATTGTTTCATTCGATATATCGATCGATATTTGTATTTGAATAAGTGTAGGACCTAATGTAAAGTGCAGCCGCCCGTTCTTTAATACTGAACAATGGAGCTGTAATACTGAACTTTGGCACCCCCTTTTGCTTAAAGCCCCTCACAAACACTTCCTTTGCCTAACCTAGTTTCTTTGCCTACCCCTAGCCTTAACTTCTGCTAGGTTAAGAAGTTATTCACCAAAATGCAAATTTAAACAGCCAGTGATCAATATGTGATACCACAGAATTACCGCGTTGAAGAAAATAGTTTCCTAACTCTGTAAATGAAGCCATTAAGAGGTTTTGCCATTGCAGTTCAACGAAGTTACGCCTATAGTAAATAGAATCACTTGGCATTAAAACTTATAGGCCTGCCTACTCATAGTAATTTTACATTTTATATTTTTAACATAGTGATTCAGACGCTAACTTACTCTTACAGTAAAATATGATTTCTTAAATATTATTTTTCACTTTTATCATTTCAGAAAAATGGCCTTGCCTATGAACTACAAGCAGATAGCTGCTACTACGCCAACACAACAGCCCCCGCAGCCGACAAACCGTGAGTCCCACTGATGTGCAAATGTTTTCCGTTATAACTGAATCAAATATTTTTCAATTTAACTTTAGTTAAAGTACTATTTCCATATGCTTACTTATTATAAAACATCTTGCAAGAGCTCTTAAAATATTTTTTAAAAAGTCAAGAACATTCAAGATTAATAAAAAATGTTTCTTTAGGCTATTTACTTCATTAACCGAACTTGTGTTTTATATTGTATTTATGGCCTTTTTTGTGTAAACTGTAAATTATGGCCTCTCAAAAATAATTACATGAAAAAATGTCTGATGGTTGAGTTAATTTTTTTTATATAAAAAAACTGCTCTGCAATGTAGCCTATTGTGTAGAATTGATTTAGTAGCCTAGTTAAATATTTTGTTATTCCTAGTAAAGTTGCCTTGATATTTTTTTGTTTCATTTTAGTGGAACTGTATGTGTGTGTGTGAGCATAAATATATGTTGACTGTAGCATGAATATTGATGCTAAAATACCCTACATTTCATTCTCAATTTTAACTAATTTATATTTATTTAATACATCGATAGAGGACAAATAGAAAACTCATTATTGGTCCTCCATTTTATAGAGAGGTTCCCTGATTCCGACAGTAATGCTTGAGTAAATTTTTTTTGTTAGTTTTGTAAAGAATTTAACCTACAAAAGCCTCTAGAAGCTGCTTATTGAGTTATGTAGCCTACTTGGAATAATTACAAACTTTAAAATCTAAAAGCTCTATTTTTCAATTGGAAAACTGTTTTAAAAGTGTTAAAGAATACGGTATGATTAACTTTACGTAGGCGTGGTTATTTGCACCCTGATAGTATCGAAAATGTATGAGTCATCTCAGTTTTTTTAATTTGAATCCTATTCATTGCACATCACAAAATACAGATTTTATATGTTATTTTAAAAATATTTAACCTAATTTTCAGGCATTTACATTTTACAGAACGGCTGCATGACTAAAACCCTTGCTTACTAACAGAAGGCGCTCTTTTTTTCTAGTTCTTTTTTTAACTCAATATTCTCACACTACTAACAGTGAACTGAACCATAGACTAAGCAACACAAGTAGACTCCTCATCCCATTGTAAATTTTGAAGCTTGTTTTTTGTGACTAGTTCATGTACGTCCACACTGATCGCTGGGGTGGACAACATTTTGTTTCTATTATTTTAGTGTTATTTTCATGATTTGTGCTTTACTATTTGGTTATATAACTAGGAAACCAGTTATTGTTTATGATTAAATCGTTTTTTTTTGTTAAATGAGGTTTTAAATAACTGAAATAACAAGAAACAAATTGTAAACAAAACATAACCTCTACAGTTGGACGTACAGAGCTAACAATGAAATTGGCTTCAGCTGTTCCATAAGGATGACAAATCTACTCAGGGAGTATGATTTATCTATGACTGAACACTGTATGGTAGCGAACTTCTTACAAGTTTAATGGTTTCAGTTTCAGTTACAGTGTACCTATATCTGACTTAATAAAATCACATTAAATGAATCAATAGGCTATACCTACCAATTTTGAATTGTTAAATTATTTTCAATTCTTGATGAAATCATTTGCCTTGGTGTTTTTACAGCATTCTTTGAAAAGAGCGTCGACTGTTTAGTTATAAAGGTTAATTTAAAAAAGCTTAATTTATGTGACTTTAATCGCATGATTTTCATTTCCAATTTATTCCTTTTGTCAATTTAATCAATCATATACTAGCCTACCTTTTCATTTTGAGTTTTTTTTTCACTTTTTTTTAACTTTTTTTTATAAATTTTGATTTGTTTTCTTGAAATGTTAACAAATCTATTTGTTTTGTTTCTCCAATCTTTTGCCACTGAGCCTTTACCAGTAAAATTTCAAAATATATGCTTGGTATCTAAAAATTTTTACCATAACCTATTTGGAGCAAGGCAACAGATTTATCCATTCATCCACATTTCTTAGAAACAGGTGTCTGTCATGTATGAAAATGCCAAAAAATAAACAATTTTGTTTGAAGGAAGGAAAAATATTGTACAATTGTATATCAGTGTTGTTTTGATCGCTCTCTTGAATATTTTAGTATCAGTCAGTAGGTAGGCTATAAAATTGCAAATTTTGTTTGACTCGTTTTAATTTGATATACAGAAAGAAAGAATATTACGTTTTTGGAATATAATTGCTAGTTTAGAATTAGTTTTTGCTATGTAAAATTTTCAAGTATTCTAGTGGACAACATGACACAAAATGCCCTAAAATACCCTACAACCTAACCTAAAAATTTGTATCAGGCAAAGTTTCTCAAGCCATGACAGACACTTAAGTAGTTGACATTCGTAGAGATAAGTTCTTGACTGACTGTTTGCTTGAGCGTGGGGAATGCTGTGGCTAGATGTACCGTATTGATGTGTTTATGTGTGCTAGAGATGGCGAACCCAGGGACGCCCATGACTTTCAACATCCTGAAAGGTGAGAGGATCACTCACATTAAGCACAACTCACGGGGTGTCTACTACTAGTCTCACAATCGTTCTAAATTATAAAACAATCGCCAGGCCCTACTTCTTAATTTACTCATCCTCGGTTTTCATGGATGAATTTAAGTGAAAAACCCTTAATAAACCACGAAGGAATAGTTTTTAATTGACTCAAAGTGAAATATAAAGAACAATTAGAAAACAACCGGCTTATAAAATGTTTGAAAAGAAAACATGAAATGATATAGGCCTACACTTACCTTGTAAACTTTGTTTGTCTGAAAAAATTAACAAACCTTTATATTTTAGCATGTAGAACTAGTAATTTAATATTCAAACCTTAACACGTTCGCTACCGCATTAGTACTAAATTTTTCATTCATATATTTTGCATATATGCGACGGCTGGTCACGTTAAAATAGACTGATGTCGGTATCAAATTGTTATTAAAAAGCTTATATCTTCTTAAGGCCCTGAATTCTCTGCAGTGGTCTACAGAGATGTCTGTCGCACATGTGCGTCACTTGGTCTGTAGTTATGATGATTAGTGACATCATATGATAGTTGGCAAAACTGTTTTTTACTTTGCTGCATCACTGGCCCGTGGTCTGCGTGTACTGTGGACCAAGGAACACCCGGTCTAGATGTGTAATATTAAAATGTATACCTCACTTGGTGGCAATGACCGTAGCATTGCATATATGTGGCGATGGTATTCTTGATATTGGCGAGCACTTGTTTGACTTCAACTCTCGAGGTCCCAGGTTTGAATCCCTCCATTCGTTAAATTGTTTAAGTATGTGATAATGCCGTAACACTCTAGATCTAGACTATAGTAATGCGTAAAACAGTTCCAAAAGCTCGTCCTAGAATGTAAAAGTGGAACCTCAAAGAAAACTTTTGACACTTCATTTTGTGAATCGCTAATCCATTTTAGTAGGCTAGGCCTACACACTTGTGGAAATGGAGTTGACACAAAGAGCTAACATCTTTGAAAAAACTCTGAACCCTTGTAGTCTCTATCTGTCCAAAATTCATATTTCCTTAGGTAGTAGACACCCTGTCTAAGATTAATCAGCTATATTCTAAGCAATAATTTAAAATTTGAGACAAGTGATGAAACTTTAAGTTTAAAGAAACATTTCATGACAGGAGTACCGGTACCATAAAATGAGTAAACCTAAATGTTAAAATTCTTTGTAAAAACTCAACAAAATAAAAATTCAATTAAGACAGTTGATTCCTGTGAGTTGAAATATCGTTGACATTTTTTCTATATACCAGTAGTCTATATGATGAAACCTGTCTCCTGAACGTCCGTCTACATGGGACCTTAAACCATTGGCCAGTCTCAAGGTACATAGAGGGTTAGTTAAAAGACAGGTTCCATTATATAGACTATAGTAAATTGTAAATCTAATAAATTAAAAACTAAAGATGTGTAAAGCAGACCAATTTTCATTCCTATTACACTGTGTTTTTTAAGTATATTATGGTGTAAATAAATATCATACCTAAATCACGCGACTTGTGACAAGCTCTACCTAAAAACTCATGAAATTAAAGTGTATTGAGGACTTTATTTTAAAGGTTGGCTTCCGCGATCAAAGTAGTCTTTGGGAGAAGACCGTTTTGAATTGGTGACAATAGTGGCTAACGTTTCGGATGCGTAGCAATCGATCTTCGTGGCTAACTCTTCTACAGAGATGGATTGAACACATCCGAAATGTTGGCCACTATTTTTGCCAGCTTGACTCATTCGTCTCCCGTAAAAGATTCAACATTGATAACTCAAAGTTTACGTTTGTACGACAAACAGTCTGTTTGTTTGGTTGGGAGCACTGCAGTGGTTAGGTAAGTGCAATGTAGAGCTTGTGCTTCCGTTGTGCATGTGCTTGAGTAGTGAGCTCTCTTCCCGTAGCGTAGTTTAGCGTAAGAACCTCAGAGGGTTTAACGACCCTTGCGTCCGACCACACACTCACTCATGTACTAGGCAGTCTGCAAAACTGCTATTTTTACATAGTTAAGTTAATAATTGTGGTTTTTTTTTAATTCTGCATTTTGTGGAAGGAGTCCAGATGTGAAATGACTACGTAATACGCGACTTTGAAATGAATCGGCCAAATGAACAACTAGAGAGAAGAATCTACTGTATTTGATCTAGCTTAAGTAAGATTAGGAAAAAAGAGTTGCCATAAATTTATGAAGATAAAACTATTTTAAAAACTGCCAAGGCATGGATTGTTCATGCAAAACGAATTGATTCTTTTATAAAACAACAATGATAGGTCATAAACATTAATTTTTGAATTTTTTTGTTTGTTGACTATTTCATGTAAATTGTTAATATCTTAGAGACTTAATAATTTATGAGCATGTTAATGATTTTATTTTACAGCTTAGTTATTCATTAGATGCATTCTGGCCGTTAATCTAAGACTAAAGTCATTGTTTCTTAAATTTAAGGTAACATTATTGACGATGTCTATGTTTTACTTAATGGCAAATTAAGGTATTGAAACTTAAAACAAAAACTAGACGGAACAATCACCGATGTCAAAGCCATTTTGTGTTTGAGCTCTATTTCCATAAAAATGCATAATTCAAAAATCTCAAATTTGTAGACCTGAAATAGCAAATATCAAATATAGCAGATTTGCAGACTAACCCCCAGTATGAGAGTTACGGCTAGTAGGTCAAGCTGCGTGTGTGCGTGAGGGTCGCTAAAACTTCTGGTGTTCTTGAGCCTTAGGACTGATTATATGTAGAGAGCTGACAGACACCAACATGTCATCTTCTCTCTTGTCTTTGCAGAACGACTCCGAGCGTCTGGCGGCTCGGGAGGAGGATCTTCTTCATCGGTCAGTTCTTTTTTAAATATTTTTTACAACTTAACTTTTTTGGTATAATAAATTGTGTACAACAAAACCCCTTAAATTGGGCCTCAGTGTATCCAACCATTCGGAAGCTAATATCAAAATCAATTTCCCACAGCTATTAGACATGTAGTCTAAAACACTAGTCTTTGCGATTCAAGTGCTCCGAAAATGTTTGTTTTTTCATTTCACTTTGTTCACTGAGGTGTACTAGTATCCTCAAAGTTGTACAGTTCAAAATTGTTTTTTTGTCAAAAAAACAATGGACATTTTAAAGTTTTGCATAAAATTATAAATAAAGGACTAGTAATCTTCAAAGCCGATTTATTGTGAGTAATCTGTACCTCCATTTTCACTCAATGCTAGTTTACATCATCTTAACTTCTAGTATCTTCAAAAGAATTATTTAACCACCAAAAACAAATTTTCACAAAAATAATACTTTCTCCATATAGTATGGTATAGGGGGAGAAAGTATTAAACATTGTTTGTAAAAAAATTTATTTAAAAAATAACCCTAAACTCTACTTTTGGCTAAAATCTTTGATTACACATTATTAGGTATAATAGTATATTTCGTACCAAGGGCCGAAAATGAGGTTTTGCCGGCTCGAGATAGTTTTTAAGTTCGAGACGAAGTCGAGAACTTAAATCGATCGAGAGCCGCAAAACCATTTCGGTCCGTGGTACGAACGCTATTTTTCACCACACTATACCCTATTACCACTATTCACCACAATAATAATGCACACTGATAGTCAACACAACTACAACTTTAAGGTTATGTGAAGAAATAATTTGAGGAATCAGCAAAAATAAAAATATATAGTTGCTAGGCAACGGTGACAATAACACAATTCTATTGAAATGCTATGGTTTTTGATTATGTATTTAAAATGCATTCATGTTTTAAGTAAGTAAGCGGACAGCTGATTTTGCGGCCCCGGCCTGTAAAAACCTGCTCGGTCCCCAAATTATGGACAGCTGGCATCGCCAGCAAAACGTAACTTTCGGCCACCAATTAACGTATGTAATACAGCCAAAAACATGATAGTGTGGTGAAAATTATTGTATGTATTAATAAACGGGTGGTTGATTCAGTCTAATTGTATCCGGTAAGGGGCTCAGTCCCGTAGTGGTTGGATATGAGCGGTTCTACTGTAATTTACTTAACTTGTGTTTTACTTATATTTTTTACTTATTAAATACTGAGCTCATTTTAAACTTGTGAATATTTGAATTTCCAGAGGATCTAATGTTTCTTGATTCAGTTACGAATTGTAGAGATAATTTTTTAGATAAATTTTTAAGATGACACATTACAAGTTGCTACATGTTTTTTAAAATATTAAATTTAAAAAAGGATAGGCCTATTACTCCTCTCAGTATTGTGCCTCTCGTTTTGACACGTTGACTAAACCTTAGAGCTATCGAAAGTTGAAAATATAAAGACAATACATATGACAATGTATGTGTCAAACAATTTAAGGAACACAGAAATAATATCTAATTTATCATGGATACGCTAACCAAAGTGGCATGTTTGTACCATTGTGGCCATCCAATATAACGAGAAGTCTATTGTAGTTTATTTCACCGTAAAAGTATTCCGACTTTGTCTGTTGCAGAAAGAGTCGGCCAACCAGAACCCGTTCACAACCAGTCCTCATGCGCCAACAGCGTTCCATCCTCAGAAGGTTGGGAAGGCCCAGGTCGGTGCTAAAGTTATTGTTGAATTATTATTATATTGATGAAAGTTAATGTATTGTTTGAGGTTAAGGAGGTAAGATAGAACACAAGGCCCGAAGTTTTTTAGGATTTTTAGTGAGGATAGCAGGCTTACCTGAATGGGAAAGAGTCAAAATTCTTGAGACAAAAAATTGTATACTATATACATGAAACATTAGAATATTTATCTGTTACTTGCAGCTTTTTTTATTAAGGAAGTTGTCTTTTTTTAGGTTTTAGACCTGTCCGGCTTGGAGTTTTTTTAGACCTGAAGTAAAAGGTCCCCCCCTTAGTTTAATCCCCTTAGGGTTTAAAGGCTCCCTCTTCCTTAGTGTACCTATGTATTAAGTTTTGCGCCTCATGTGCTACTTTGGCCTCTTTCCCACTTCTTTCTCTTTTTTCATGGCCTTTTTTTGCATTAAAAATACCCCACTTGGAAGGGTTAAATTATTCTTGGATAGGATAGTCGAAAATATGTAGTTTGTTTCTTATTAACTTCCTCCATATTCTTATCAACTGTTTGATCACCAGGGGGACTCACGGACCCCGAAGCCGCCCAAACCTCCCGAGAAGCCGCTGATGCCGTACATGAGGTACAGTCGCAAGGTGTGGGATCAGGTCAAGGCTCAGAACCCGGAGCTCAAGTTGTGGGAGATCGGCAAGATCATCGGACAGATGTGGCGAGACCTGCCGGAGGACGACAAGACGGAGTATGTGGAGGATTACGAGGCAGAGAAGGTAACAACAAACTTGTGCACTAGATCTCGTAGGTCATCTTTATTGTGATAATCAAAATGTTACCGGTACGATCCTGAGAAAATGTAAGTAGCTCTGATGGTTTTAAACTAGGCTCAGTCGTCTTTGATCATTGGGCTTATAATAAATGGTCCTGACTAAAAAAAACAGCCTGAAAGCACAAAAGATACGTCGAATAACACTTATAATAATATGTTTACACTCATATTGTTTACCCACAAGACGGTAAATACATATGAAAGATGGTAAGTGGTGATCGATTTTGATTGGACACTCCAATCATCATCAGACCCAATAGTCGAATCTATTGATCAATCACCATTTACCATCTTTCATATGTTTTTACCGTCTTGTGAGTAAACAATATAAGTGTAAATACGGAATATTATTATAAGTACTATTTGACTTACCTTTTGTGCCTTCAGGTAAATTAGTAACACGTACAATGCTGATTAAGAAGTTATTTTTAAAAAAAGTTGATAGTCAGTAATAACTAATCAGATAATCTCAATCCATTTTACACTCACCTCGCATTCTTATTAAGTTAAAAACACCCACCTAATTGGTGAACGGGATTAAATTCCAGATCCCAACGTTGTGAACACTTTTTATTAACCTTTTTTAACAAAATGTTTGATGTAGTATTTAATATGTTCGATAATACAATCTAGTTGTAACTCTTTTTATTAATTTGTATTGTGTTTATTATTTTGTGAACCTTATTATTAAAATTCCAGTGCAAACCTAAGAGTGAGATGTTACAAAATTTAAATACCGTACTTGAATCTTAACAAATTCCTTGCTTTAGGAAAGGTTTAACAATGTTCACAGATGATATTTTTGCTCAAAACTTCATTGTTGTTTACAGGTTGAGTATGAGAAACAACTGAAGGTTTACCACAACTCTCCGGCTTATCTCGCCTACGTGGCCGCCAAGTCTCGAGGAAAAGCCAGCAAGCAAAGTAAGACTCGACATTGTTTCCTTTTGTGATGGTTCACATAAATTCTGTCCAAAGTTTAATTCAGTCATTAATTTTATAAAACATTTAAAACAGCTACATAGTGGTATACTGCCAAGTATAATAAAAATGGCTGGCTTTTGTAATTAACTAAACTATTTGTTATATGGAAATAGTTTAGGGAAGCGAGCTGGTCTAGTGGTAGAGCATATAACTTCGGTCCCTGAGGTCTCAGGTTCAAATCCCGCCAATCACCAATGGATTTTATCTAAGTGAATGCCGCAACCGCTAGATCTAGTCTGAAGTAACGTGAAAAACAATACTGGCAAGAGCCTTGCGTCCTAGGACCAAAAAATATGGAAATACTTTATTGTAATCACTTAAATAAATATGTTTGCAAATTAAATCATTGCAATTACTTATGAAAATTAAGACCATTTTAGGTTGTTTATTTAGAGAACAAACAAGATGAAACAGGTTGAGACGTGTTTGTTTTTACAGATCAAGAGAAAGAGGACAAAGAAGAGGGAGGCAGGTCGGGTGACAGAGGGAGCAAACAGGCGGACCGACGGATCGACATTCAACCTGCCGAAGATGAGGATGGTACGTAGTCCAATAGTCATCGATGCTAAAAAGACTTATAATAAGTTACTCCATAAAGACCAAAACAGTTAGTTACTTTTGACAAAGAGTGCTCCAGAATTTTTTTCATCCCATAATTGTTGTGAGAAAATAACTTACAGAAAACTTTTTCATATGTATACAGAGAGTTCCCAAACTCTACCGACCAGACTAAAGACAAACTAAAATATCACGTTGAAAATTTCCAAAACTCAAAAGTTACACCACATTTTTGTTTTTTCATAAACTATTTTTTATTTGTTAATGCCTTTTTGTAGTTAGTTGATATTTGGTACATAGATTATGTACAAACAAAAATATAATTTTTATGTTACCTTTTAGTTGAAAATGTAACTGTAATTTTTATGTTACCGGTACCTTTTAGTTAATAACGTAACTGTAGATCAAATAAAAGTTTAAATTACCTGTGTCCGCCAGTTGATCCTGAAGTATCCTATTACAGGATCATTATTAGGATCGACCGACGGACACAGGTAATTTAACCTTTTATTGATTGTCAACCAATCCGGAACAACAACGAACAACATAAAATAAATATGTAATTGTAGACAAAAATGGCAGAAATAAGGGTAACTTTTGAGTTTTTAACATTTTTAGTATGATATTTTGGTTTGTAAAATTAGGTCCAAGAACGATACCTTAAAAGGTTTGTAGAGAGTTCAGGGTTATTCTTTATGTCATGTTTAAATTTTATTAGTGACTAGACATTTTCTCTGGTGGCAACACTGTAAATTACTTCAATTTTAATTTTGAAGTGACATTTCACTCCAATCTACTTTTAGAAGAAATCTCATAATCCAAACAATATACTAAGCAATGTGATTTATGTCCTTTTTGTGTATCTATTAACCTCTGGAATCTTAAATTATTCAGGCAAGCTACCAAAACTCTTATCTCTTTAAAAAATCTCTAAAATTAAAAAGGTTCCAGTAACATGCAAGTGATACTTAGACTTACACAAACCAAAATACTGAGGTTGATTAAAAAGTTATGCCTAAGGTGGACTATTTTTCCTTATCGGAAGAAGGTATGAAAGAAATTTAAGGAATTTTTAAAATTGAAGTATTCTTATTTCCATCATTGATAGTGTAATTATTGTTAGTTTTAGAATATAGGCTATGCAAATTGTTGTTAAAACAATTTACTATGATTTGTTAACTGTTTCTGCTGCACTAATGGTTTTAATCTTCTTGGTAAGTGTTCTTGCAAGTTAGTTCTCGCACAATTTAACTTATTGAACACAATCGGTGAATTACCATAGTATATTCTAGAGTTTATTTTGTATGATTTTCTTTATTTTCCGTTAAGTAGTATTTTTACTATATAGGCCTCCTCCTAGCTTGTGTCTTTAAAATATTAGTTTGTGTACATATCAGAATCACTAATTTTTCTTACCCATAAAAACATTTTTCTCAATTTACTAGTGTTTACAAAGAATTTTGTCATAAATTGATAACTTTTTGTATCAGTTTAAAATATTACACTCACCTAATGTCAAATTTGAAATGTCCGAATATTCGGAAGTGTGTTAAGTAGTGATGTGCCAAAACTGAATTTTAAATCTCAAGACCAGCAAACTTAAAAACATTGAGTTTTGAGATAAGATTGGCCGATTTTGAGATTCAAAATTAAATTCAGAAACAGCTGACAATTTTTGTTGTGTTTATTATGGTTTATGACAAAAAATACGCTCTTTGAAAATATTGCGCAATATCCATCAATGTCCTTACAAGAAAACAAATTAAACCTGTTTAGTATTTTATTCCTCGAGCACTAATTTCTATTTGCCCTAGAAATAATTTTTTAACACCTTAAAATGTTTTATTTAATTCTTACAAGAAGTTCAAGTAGAGTTAAATTGTATTAGTCACATTTTCATTTATTATTTTTGAGTTAGGAGTCCAAACATAAGCCTTATTACTTTTATTGTTTGTCCCTTAACCGGGCAAGTAAAAAGGTTTTGCTAAGTTTTTGAGATTCAGAATTTGATTTTTCAAGTTTTGGTTTCAATATTGAGATTTGAAATCTCAGGCTTTGACCATAACTCATCTCAAGTCTCTAATATGTCATATGACGATTTTATTTACATCATACCGTGTGTAGATGCTCAAGACGACGGCTACTCAGTGAAGCACGTAGCCTATGCTCGCTACGTCCGAAACCACAGACTCATCAACGAGATATTCTCCGATGCCATTGTGCCGGACGTTCGCTCCGTCGTCACGACAGCTCGTATGCAGGTGTTGAAGAGGCAGGTGCAGAGCCTTACGATGCATCAGGTGCGGTTTTATACGATAGACAACTCGTTTGATAAGTATTTAATAGTTAATGAATATACGAGGATATCCACAATTTTATAAACTACTTTGATTAAAAATTATGTCGATTGTTGATCTATTAGATCTATACAGTCAAACAAACCTATGAAGGCACTTGTGTCCGGTGCAGGGCGATAGAGGAAAGGATCGATTATGACAGAAAATAACTCCTTTCCGAAAACATTGGTTTTGCCACCGAATCACCAGCTACCTGAGATTTACCCTCTTCACACCCCTGACAGTAAATTTCTGTGTACGGCCCAATAAGCCGATTAGCGCCAGGTGAGTGGTTGATTTCAGGGAGGCCCAACGTTTACTTCAAAGATTGTAGGCTACAGCGTTTTCACCCCATTCTAAAAGTGCCTTCTTAGGGTTGTTTGACTGTACCATACGAGTTATTTATCAATACAGTTATCAATAAGAGTAGTCTGTTTAAAATCAATGTCAGTGTTTGGTTTTTTTGTGTAAAATTTGACGTGGTAAAAATTTAACTGAAGATAAGTCTGCTATCAAATTACAATTCACATTTAAAACCGTTATAAAGAAAGTAGGCTAGCATCACTGGACTGTTTAAAGCGCCCTCTATACTAAATGAGTCAAATATTTGGGGGGAAACCTTGAAAAGAATGAGAGAAATGCCTAAAAAAATACTTGTTTAATTACCAATCAACCATGCGCTACAAAAAAAATTCGTAAAAAATCTGTTAAGGAGGACAAGAGAAAAAGGGATGTCACAGAGAAAACTGTATGAAAAATGTTATTACAGTTGGATTAGGAGACCACTGTGTATGTGAGTAAGGGTCTCCTAATCCGTCAGGTGCCACGACTCATGGAACGGACTGTAAGTATATAGCTTTGAAATATTTTTAGGATCCACATAAACGTATGATTTTCAAATTCTTACCGATTGTTTTACTTCCAGAAGAAACTTGAAGCGGAACTGCAACAGATTGAAGAAAAGTTTGAAGCAAAGAAACGTAAATTCATCGAGAGCAGTGAAACTTTCCAAGAAGAGTTGAAAAAGGTAACGAAATCTTACACTTTGTAGCAAACTGGTTTTGTATTAGTACAAATTATTCGTTACTATTTTGCTGGGTGCGTCTTGATATCCAAACATTGACGAGTACGTTGTACTGTTCAGCACTGCCAGCGCGCCGTGGACGAGGAGACGTTCCAGAAGATGGTAGAACGGCAGATAGAGGTGCTACGTAAGGAGAGGGCGCGCGGAGGTGAAGAAGCAAATAAACCTCCACGAGCAATGGAGGAGAGCGGCGGAGCTCCGGAGCCTGTGGCTACCCCCACCACCAACGGAACTGACGAACCACCAAACACACAACATTCTGAGGTAGGTCGAAACTCACAGCCGAAACAGTCATAAGATGTAAAAATATCTGCTTTATGTTATGGTGAAGGAATACAGCTGACAATTAAGTTATAAAATAAATCATAGACTGATAATTTACAATGTCACTATTGGAACAAATTGTATAGTAGAGCCTGGGTTATGAGCTAAACTGGATGTGTACATCCAGCTGTCGATAAACTAAAAAGAGACAGTTATAAGTTTACAAACTTTGTGGCATGCATTGTGCAGATACTTTTGTTTGCGACAGTGACCAGGATCCGAACCCAGCCTGGTGTTTTTCTACTGGGCACAAGTGAAAAGGATTGTTTTGACGTACTGGCTATATTGTACAGTCTTACCTTACTGCAAAGGCCCTGCGTTACTTGGTACTGGGTTGTATGTTTGGAAGGTTGATAACCAATGAAGAATCGAGGCTCTACTATAAGTTGATTTGTCAAAGCCTTTAGTAATGAAACCCATGTTTACAATACAAAAATACTTTTAAAATTTCAATTTCTCAACGTCAGCTGTATTTCTACAATAATAATTTGTGTGTAAAAATTTATGGTGTTTTAAGAGGCACTTCTTATCACATATAACCAAACCAACACCAGTTTGAGATATGTAATGATTTTAATCTTTGGCAAATTCTTTATGCCAAAAATAGGGTGGAATAGGTCCTAGGCTTTTAACAAAACGTTTAGATAGAATAACTGTTTTGAAAGGTTTATACTTTATAAATTGAGTGTTCTAATTCAGTTTATTTTGGTAAAGTTATAACTATAGATGAAAAGGGAACAGTTAGTAGAAGCAAAACTCACATTAAACCCAAATTTAATTCCGATGTTTGTTTAAAAATGCAGTTATAAATTAGTAACACAAATAGTTTAATCTCTTATGATACTTGCTACTCTTAAACCTTTTTAGTGCCAAGAATTCCAATAACAGTTTTTTGTGTAATCGCTGTAAATAATATTAAGATTTGTTCTTAATTTTACTAGAGATCCTTACTTTTTATTGTTATTCTTACTGAACAAACCTTTAATAAAGTCATTAAAAACTCGTAGAAGTTAATTTAACGTCTGAAATACATGAGATTTGGTGAGTCTGTAGTGCCACGGGTGGCACATGTGACTATTTTTGCACTACAGTTCACCCTTGTACTGTACCGGCTCACCCCTTGCTTTTCTGGATACGTTTACACACAGGCTCAAGGCCTATGTGGACAGGCAAATGCAAGGTAAACGAGGCTGCCAACCTCTTAAAATCTAGTATCTAAGCATGTAAGGTACCATTACGTTTATCTGTCAGTTTGGCACTAGTAGGGTTTAAGTTGAGCAAACAGCCGCGGCCAAATTAGTGTAGAGAATGGACGGAAGTGACGTATGCTTGTATGTTAACAGATGGTTGTCCTTCACTACATACAGGTAACACTTTGTCCTTCCCCTCTCCCCCCGCCCGCATGTTACCTCCCCTTGCACTCTTGGACGATAACACTGTCAAAACACTTTTTTTTTGTTTAGTCGGTCGTGACCTTTTGACAATGCCTGTCCTAGTAGTAGTAAGGTTCTTTGGAAAGCTATTAAGTTTTTTTGATAGACTAGTGACAAATGGCATCTGGATCCTGTAACAATCTCGCTTGGAATCAAACAAGCTACTTTCAGATTTAAAGGTGAGCACTATAACCACTTAGCTACTCAGAAAATTTGTTAAGTTGGTTTACTGAGAAAATTAGAGTTCTTGCTAAGAGATACACAATAAAAGATGTATTTATTAGTCTCTAAACTCTTTAACTTTCTCAGGTACGCTAGCTGAATTTGATCCCTTTCCATTAACGTTGAATTGGCAGCCATTTTGATTCCTCTTTAAATATGTCTCAGAAAATAATTTCAAGTCAAATATATGATTGCAAGCTATTGTGTCGCATGTCAGTTTTTGATTTTATGATTACGCTATAATTTAAAAGTACGGTTTATTGTTTTATGACCAACATTTAAATGTCGGAAAGAATCTAAAACCTATAAGTCCACTACGCAAGGTTGTATTGAATTATTTCAACATACTTTCTCGGTGCGTACATAAATTATAACGACTGTGTCGTCTGAGAGTGTTTTTGCTTTGTTGTGATTGTTGAGTCAAGTAAGATCCCTTTTTGCCCATTTTACAACTTTATGTTACATAATCAATTGAAACCATTTAGTTTTTCAGTTCTCATTGTTTTAATTGTAGCAGTTGGATTTTGTTGGTTTCTAAGTGGAGCATTTTGTCTGTGGTTTTATGCGGTAACTGTTGTCCAATTGTGAATTTTCAGCTAATTTTGTGCCTAGTTGACGAGGAGAATGCTGCAAGTTTTGTTATCGTACAACATTTATATTCTTGTTTAGACTTAGTGTCTTGTGTTTACTAGAACGTTAAAGCAATTATCAAAGGTGATTTGTAATTCAGGATGTTTATATATTTTGTAATAAAGTTTACTTGAAGTATACTGTATTTTCAGTCTGATTTATTTTCTTTGGGATTCACAAAGACAATTCTATGTGAATCGCTTTCACGGGAAAAATTGTTAGTTACCCTTTTTGGCTAATTAGCTAGACATTTTTCTCAGCCAAAATACAACTTTTCATCAAAATTGGCAAAACCGTTTCTGAGATAGCGGATGAATAAATATAAATATTGTTTTGTTTTTAGGGTAAAAGTTTTCATGAACAATTTACAATTTATTGCTTTACACCGAGTAAAGTAACTGAAAGAACTGGACATTGCATCCCCATGTTTAAATTGTCAATAGTTTTTAATTTAAATGGACATAGTTGAATTTAGTCACTAACAGATTGTGCAGATTTTACTGATTGAATACCGAGTCATGTTGATAAAACCAGTTTAAGCTATTGCATAATTTATGTCACCTGGATTATCTCAGTAACAAAATATAAGATAGAAAATATAATTTTTAACACTACCCCAATCTGTGACTTTTTCAACTATGATTTTTTTTTCAATACAAAATTGGTGACAGCAGGTTGATAAAGATGGAACGGTACTTTAGTATTAGGCCTATACCGACCATAACCAAATTGGTTACCCTTAGGTTAGGTTATCTTATCCCAACGTAACCTAACCTAGATGTGGTAACCTAAATTATCATCCAATGTAAGGATAACTTGATTGTTTGACAGCCGATGGAGGAAAGAAGTCAGTCTGCGGATGAGTCGAGCAACCCCGCCATGGACACACAGGCTCCGTCACCAGCCCTGCCGTCGAAGCCTGTAGAGACTGCGCCTCCCGCGCCTGTCCCTGCGTCCGCCCCAGCACCTGCACCGGCTCCATACATGCATCCTTCTACTCCCTACCAAGCACCCGGCTACATGGCACCTGCAGCTCCCCCACAGCCACAGATGCCCCCGCCACAGGGGTTCCAGCCAGCTATGGCCCCGTACCCTCCGCAACAATACCCCCCGTCCCCCGCCACGCAGCCTCTCCCCCCTCGGCCTCCGTATGGTTATCCTCAGAGCCCGTACCCACAGTATCCTCCGCACCCGTACTACCATCAGAACCCGTACCCTCAGTACCCGGCTCCGCACATGCCCCCCGCTCGTCCTCACCCACACCCGTACCACATGCCTCCTCAGCAGGACCCCCAGGCTCATCCTGTGAGTAGCTCTTTGCATCAATTGAATTTTTAATTATTTTAACTGGTTTTAATTACAAAAATTTGTTATAAATTAAAATACTAGTTTAAAAATTGAGTTAGCACAAAAAATTGTCTGTTGAAATAATTGTTACAAAATCGCCTAGTTAATATTCCAGCTTTTTATGTCCTACCGTACTTATTGTTTGACTTGAACCTTTTCCGTGAATTCACTACCACCATTTAATTTGCAAGTACATACTGGAAGTTATGTCTTGTACCTTGTTCTAACCTTATCATTTTGTAGATAATTATAATATTTGGACATAGGGAAAAAACAATGGCAGCACATTAACGGTCTGTGATCATGTTATAATGTTTTAACTGATTACACTTGCTTTTGATAGGGTGTGGAGAACAACATGTATGGACCCCCGCAGCAGCAGATGCCAGAGCGGGGCCCCCCACCTGCTGAGGAACCAATGGACGAGTCTAAACCTGATATAGCTCCCCCCGCTGGTGAGTGCACTTCTGATTCGTTGATCAACAACATACTTACTCCCATGGCCATGGATACCCTTTGTTGCCTCCATCTCTCCCTGTTCTATGAATCTTCTTTCATTGTTCTCAATCTTTGCATTTTTTTCCACCTGGTCCTTCCACTGATCCTTGTGTCTTTCTCAGGGTCTTCCATAGGCCTAATGTTTTTTAGCACTCAAATAGTAGTAGCCTTTTAACTTTTGGAAAACTGGTTAGCTTACAGATAATGTAATAACAATAACAAGTAACGTAACTTATTTGGCATTACTCAGCCTTATGCTTTTCCCCCCCCCGCTTTATTGTATTAACATTAACCATAAATAAAATTAGGCTACTTAAGATTAAAAACAAAACCCTTTTTTATTAGACTTGTCCCATGTTTCTTATTCTGTTAACCATGAATTCTTTTCAGGTGTTAAAGAAGAAAAGCCATTCATGAAAGAGGAGCCCGAAGCAGAGCCAATCAAGAACGGAGAGTAACTGTTTCCCACTTTTATTTGTATATGTATTTGTATGTGTGAGTAATTTTACATTAGTAACAATTAAATGTTTTAAAATGTCAATTTTAGCCTTTTTCCCTACTCCCTACTACTAAAAGACAAGGTTATCTTGATTACTCATAAAACCTTCGTAATCATATTTCGTTTACAGAATGGTTACAATTTATACATTTTGTTTGAAAAATGGTAAAAATCTACCAGTTGTTTTTACAGGGTAGGCTCCAACGCTGGTGCAATAAATTGGTCAAAACCTTTGATAGCCGACTCCAATGTGTTGGTCAATTGATACAATTGATATAGAAACTTGGGTTAAGGTTTCTGTTTGTTTAGGCCTATTGATAGATTCGATAATTTTAAAGTTCAATAATCTGATAGAATGTGATATCAAAGTTTATCCTTAAAATTTTTGTTAGGCACAACAACAGATTGGTTGAAAACTAACATGCTGTGCAAACTATATTATGCACTAAAATAACTAGAGATAGGTACCTACGGTAGATATTTTACTTTTATAATACGGTATTGTATTATTTACAAACATATTTATATGATAACCTCCGCAGCTTGGTATTAAAAAAGTAGCCTCCATATAATATCAAAGTAACTTACACACACCATGGCTTTCTCTAGGCCTTATACAAGGCCGTGGCGAGACGAAAGTGGCAACACCTCAGCCCTGGCCTTCCAAAACAGCTTTTGCACTAGCCTAATTGATACTGGAGCTTCTATGCAATGTTTATGTTTAAACATTTGTTATTAATGTTATTAACATTGCAAGAGGCCAATGTGTTTAGAGGAGACTTAACGTAACTTATCATTCACTCATATTTGGGTTAAAATACGCACCTTGGAGACATCCCCATCTTAAATGGTAATGTAAAAACTACAAAGCAACTTAATATCTGGTCAAAAAACACACATTTATTCCATAGAATGTACAATTTACAACTTCATTGTGAAAATAACCATAAGTTATAGACCTAATAATTAGTCCATTTTACATTGTTAACAATTTAATTTATTCAGATAGATGTAAATTAAAAGCATTAGGCTTATTAAAATGTCTACCGAAAGGAACATTTTAGCAAACGTACGGTAAAACCTTTTTTAACGACAAAACCATCTTGCAAAAATACTACCGGTTATCATTAATTAGTTCTATTCTAGCCCAAGTCTCTCACAAATTTAAGCCAAATCAGATGGTTTAATACTTGATGCTGATGACAGAACTTTGGTGGTTTTTATAAGCAAGTTTTTGCTGAACCACTGAGATCGCGTTTTAGGCATTTCAATGATACGTTTACCTTCAAAATCATCATTTCTGCACCCGTCTTTCTCTCCTTTGTACATGTACACCACCTCCTTGTCAATGGGGTTGAGGCCAATTTCTTTTTTAATAGCATCCTGCATCTCTTCTGTTTCTGATTTGACTTTTGAATAACACGTTGGACAGAGACAATCAGCCTCAAAAGGATTCCCACAAGATCCGCATGTTACTAGGTTTTTCTTTAAGACTAAAGGCTTCCAAACCTGATTCGGCCAACCAAACTTTCTGTTTAACCTTTTTTCCACTGATTTTCTTTTCTTGGGAACTGCCCATAACACTGAATCACTTTTCAAATTAGGCAATGCCGTAGGCCTAAAGGGGCTTCTTCCAATTACATCAAACAAATCTTCAGCCTGCTGCTCGTGTTGAATTGTACCCCTCGGCAGGAAGTGTAAAATGTTTCTCTCCAATTTCAAAACTGCCAAGCTTATATCACTTACAAATCTTGACAACATTGTAACTCAAGCGATTAAGATTTATATTTTATAAGGCTAAGTTGCCTGGCTAACAATAATGCTGTTAAATCCAATCTAACAATGGGTCTGGTCTAGTTACTCAGTTATTTAATTTCTACCTTTCTTGTTTCTTCCCTACCCTATAGTTTTAGCTGAGGTTTTAGTTTAGGATAAGGTTATGTTGTTATGGTTATGTTTACTTTTGCAATTTGCACTTGCATGTTTTGCAATGAACCAATGAACAAAAACAGCTGTTTCAACGTTCCAAGATATAAAAAGCCAGACAAATCTTTAAAGCATGCATCCCTGATGTTGAAGGTGTAGATTTTACATGCAGCCTATATTTTTTTTAATATTAGTGTAACACTTTTACGGGATTCACGGACACTCTTCCTTTTTGGCTATTAATCTTACCGGATGGACACCCTCCCTATATGGCTCATACTTTTACTGGGACAGCGACTACGTGTCACCTCGACAACCAGTCACCCCGACCAACCGTCACCTTTTAAGACAGGTTTTGAGGTGACACGTTGTCGCGCATCGTTCCCGACTACCCGTCACCGTTTGAATGAGGTGACAGGTAGTCGGAGTGACAACTAGGCGCAAGCGTGCGAGGTGACAGGTTGTCATGTACGAAGGCGTCTAGTCGTCACCTCCAAAGAGAGGAGGTGACACCTTGTCTGGGTGACACCTAGACGCGAGCGTGAGAGGTGGCGGTTTAGCGTCGATGCAGCCGACAACTTGACACCGCCTCAAACCGTCACTCCGATAGTATCATCACTTTTAACTAAAATTACATATATGAACAAACTAGCAGAGTACCGTAGATCGGGGCTACTTGGACTCAAAAATTATACATTTTCGGTAACTGTAGACTAAATGATAGTTAAAAAGTACAATTTGTGCTGATAACCAGGTATTTACCACTTTTTAGACATTTTACAACCACTTTGCGCCTTTTATAATACACATTTTTATTGATTACATTTTTATTTTTATTTTTTTAAATTGGGTTCAAGTAACCCCTTTGTTGAGGCTACTTGGACCCATATCGTATTTACATTGTTAAATCAATTTAAAGAGGCAGTGGGCTCAAGTAAGACCTGGGATTTGGAAATAAAACTCTACAGAGACATTTCAGAGGCCAGAAAAATTTATATAATTATGAAATGAATAGTAAATTTATGCATCAATTACATCACAATGACTGAGTTAACAACTTAAGATATTTTAGCACACATTATTAGTCTCAGTTATTTAATACAGATGTTTCAATCTTGCCTTGGTAAAAACACTGAAAAAACCCCCCTTTTAATAAGTTTTGGTGGATTGATTTTCCTTTTAATATCACACCACTTGTAGTGAAGAATGTCTTTTTTTGCGGGCCACTTCCAACCTTTTTTTATTCTTTCCATGCAGTCTACAACTGCACCATCGTCATCGAGGGTCGTTATCATGCCTGGAAATAACAGATTGTTCCACGCCACTAAGACAAAATTACCTTCCTTAATAGAATTTTTTATGGAGCCTTCACCTTCATCCTCTTCGTCTGCTACAGGCTTAGGAGGGACTGTAGGGAGTGTATCTGACGTTAAGTCCTTTGAATTAGTCGAAGTAGATGCAATGGGAGCAAAAATTTCATCTTCAGAATAATCCTCAGATAAAACAAAGTCACTGTCACCAGAATCCTGGATGCTGTAAGCATCCTCATCATCTGATGTAGAATCTTCAAGATCTTGTTTCTTACGGATTTTCTTTGCAGGTGTTTTTTTCTCCGGAGCTGCGTTGACTCTCTTCCTTTGTTTTGTCGGATTTTCCCCTGACGTAGAATCCTTTGATTCTCTAGACTCAATGTCGTTTGCAGTTATACTTTTACCAGCTGCGACTTGGACTTTCTTCTTTCTGGCTTGTGGTTTTACAAATTCAAGTCTCTTCTGTTCGAGATGAGCCAAGAAAGCATCCCCAACTAGGTCAAGGTTCACTGATCTGTCTTGTTTCGGCAATCGATCTAAAATTATATCTTTACTTGCGGGGTAAATTCCAGCTTTCTTAAAACCTGCTTTCAGGTTGTTTTCCATGTTTGGTGCAATTTCATCCAATACGGTTCTTAGAAGCATGGGGAACTGGTCTTTTGGAAGAGATGCAACTCGTTTTCCAGCTTCAGACTGTTTCCACTTGGTCAAGATGTCCCTCCACTTAGACTTCAGAGGCCTAAAGTAGGCGACGTCGAGGGGCTGCGTCAAATGTGAGGAGTTTGGAGGCAAGCAGACAAATCTTATGTCATTCTCCTCACACAATTTAACGACATTCAAGCTTAGATGCGAAGATAAATTATCTCCAATTACAACTTTTGTGCCATTTTGTTTTTTTAGCACAGGAAGAAGGTGAGTTGTAAACCATTCATCAAATATAGCCAGATCAATCCACCCATTCTTACTTCTGTTGTACCTTGCACCTACTGGGCCATTTTCCGCCCAAGTTGACCAAAGGTGTTCTGATTTATATATTACGTAGGGTGGAATAGATTTCCCAGCGGCATTGCCACAAAACATTACAGTCACATTAGACTTAGTCGAGTTAATCACCCTCTCTGGATACTTGCACCCTCGGCGGCAAATTATTTTGCTCCTCCCAGGATCGTCCGACATACAAGTCTCATCGTAGTTGTAAATACAATCTGGCGAAACATCCTTAGTCAAAGCACTAAGATTATCAATGTACTCAGTTATTACAGATTCATCAATGGCGGCACGAGCTCTCTTTATGTTATTTGCAAATCTAACCGACAGTTGTGGGTTTCTTCTCAAAAACAATTTTGTCCAGTCCGGTCCAGGGAGGTTATTTTTAAAACAGTTCACAGATCTCCCTTGTTTATCAAGGTAGCTTTTAACAATGAACCTAAAGTCCATTTCATCCACGGGAAATCCAAATTCACAAACTTTATCAATGTGACTGGCAAAGGCCCGCTCTTCATCGGAGGTAAAAACAGCTGGATGTCCAGGCTTGTTTGCTACATTGTTCTTCAACCGCCTTTTTATTGTAGATAGGCTTATATTATAGTGGGCTGCTGCAACGCGTAGAGACATTTCTCCGGATGTCACAGAATTGAGACATAGTTCTAGTTTTTCTGCCGTAAAATCGGCATATTTTCTACTCCCAGGAGTCCTCTTGTATATTCGGGTCATTGTCAGTTCCAACTCTGGAAATAAATGTTCATAAATAGTAGCTTGTCAATTTAACTACAAGCAGTTTACAAGCCACAAGCACTAACCAACCATTTTTTAGTGGTTTGGGGCTACTTGAACCCGGGTTCAAGTAACCCCATTTCTAGGTTATCAGCACACAACTTATAAGTTATAGTTTTTACAGTGTTATAAACTTAGATATATGTAACAAACATATGCTATTTTCTTAACCAATATATACGACATGAAAAATAAAAATTACCTTGCGTGTATCTGTTGTATGCACTAAAGTAGATGTGATGTGGAAGTTTGCAGTTCACAAAAACTCACATGTTTACAGCACATAAACATAACCTCAATCAGAGACAGGAAAGAAGAAGAAAAATGTCGTTTGACGTTTCGCCCTCCCGCTTAGTGCTGCCACCTGTTGTGTAAACGATGAACCACGTCGATATGTTCAGTAATGCAGAACCAATAGAGATTTAAATCTTTTTTTTGTCCTGTGTTCAAGTAACCCCTCATGGTTCAAGTAGCCCCGCTTTACGGGGGTGGGTTCCATAATATCGACAACCGTAGAAATTGATCGAAACTGAATTATTCCCAGTTTGTCGACACTGGAATATTCCCACTTAACCGACATCCCAAATAACCGACGTCGCAAATGATCGACACCACAAATTGTCGACATCCCATATTGTCGACAATAAAATAGTTTCACTTTGTCGACACTGAAATAGTCCCAGTACATCGACAAGCTCCCGTTCTTCGGAGCTACTCTTGAAAAGGAGTTGTTCTAATTCATCGTTCAGTTCCTCAAGTCACGAGTCGCAAGTCGCAATATTTGATTCCGAATTCCGACGGACATCTACATTTATGGACTTAAACTTTTATATTGTAAATATTTATCTTTTTTATTTCTTTCCTTGTTTACAAGAAAATAGATGACTCAAGTGTTACAAACAATAGTTTTTAAGGAATAATGTGAAATAATTTTTATAGGATTAAAAACTTAAAAACATTACCAGACACTAACTTAGGTAAGTCACCAACAAGAAGGTAAGAGGTAAGATACCAACAAGAACCTAAGATACAGCTTGTTCGTAGGCTAATTCTGGATCATAGAGCAATATTATTGCAAATGTTTGAATAGGCAAATCCCTAGGCTATTAGGATTGTCTCTTATCCCCTCTGACCCAGTGTCAACTTTGAGAATTTGTTTATGTAAAAATATTTGGCTGCACTTTAGTTTAGGCTATGTCCTACATTTATTCAAATGAAAGATATCAAATACATAGACTATTTAGTATTTTGAATATTGCATTCCTTTAGTTAGGTTAGGTTTTACCCTAACTAAACAAACTTGATATAGGCTTAGGCCTAAGTTTATCGAATGAAATAATTAATATGACTGGGACGTGTGGCGTCGTCCTGTAATCCAGCTACTAAGTTAGTAGGTCACGATTTGTGGATATTTATAGGCATGCACTGTGGATTCGATACTCCCTGGTGTGGATTAACGTCCGCACGAGTGAGTACTTACTACGACTCTCCGCAGTAGGCCTACTATCCTGATAACTTAATTAGACCAATTCGTATAAGTTAGGCCCATACCAAGGCAATAATGTGGTTCGGATTCCACTATAAACTGTAGGTCCCTTAGTTGCCATTAGCTGTATGGGCTATTAATTAACAGCTGTGTCTAAGGAATGTCGGTCTTTTAGTTACTAACAAGACTACAAGATCGTGCCACTCATCCTACACTTATCTCCATTCATACTTGGCTTAAAATACCTACTTTGTATGGTCGCCAAGTAATAAGAAAGAAAGTATTAAAGAAATATATTCATTGGAATGAGTGTAGGACGTAAACTTAAGTGCTGTAAAATATTCTAGAGAGGTTTGTATTTGGTGTAAGACTAGTCTTGGATTATATCATTCATTGCTGATGACTTCAATGTTAATTTTATAGATGATCCTGGAGCAAAGGCTGTAATTTGACCTGAGCCCAAAT